GTTCTCCTGGCCTGATAGGTGGTTCTGGGGCTTAGGTGAGAAGCAGTCAGTGGGTCCATACAGCATGAAGCCCACAGTCATCTTTGACAACTGATAAGAAGTGGTGATGATGATAATGTCAATCCTGTTTCCTTAGGTGTCGCCTGCAATTAAAAGAAATCTGTTTGCAGCACTACAGGAGCCCACGCAAACCTCAAAATAAAATGTTTCCGATTCTGTGCCGCCTCTGTGGTCCAGAAACAGACTGTGTTGTTACTGAATCCAGTCGCTTGCATATTGCTGTTAATTGCCTTTTGTTTTCGAAGAGCTGATTTGTTTTTGCGTTTCTGTGGGTAGTTTTTGGGGGGAGGCACTCTCCCCCTCTGAGTTGTAAGGCTGGCAAAATATGACATCCCTAATGAATTCAGCCAAGTGCAGTGTTTTCATGGGGGCTGCAGGGGAAGCTTTATTAAGACTTCATTTGCTCCTTTCCCCAGGCCTTTGCTTTGGGTGAGAAGCATCCTGAGTTTAAGGATGACATCTACGTGCCCTATGCTCAGTGGCTAGCAGAGAACGATCGCTTTGAGGAAGCCCAGCAAGGTAGGCAACACAGACTGTCACCTTCTAGAAGGAGCAGGAGAAGTCACTGCCAAGACATACATTTCAGGAAGGCTACAAGCCCTTTCCATCTGTAGATCCCAAGATAGATGACTTCATCCTGGGGATGTGATTGTTTGGTGGTGAAAGACAGTAGAGCATGGAAAGACCATGGGCTTTGGAATCACACCCTCCTAAGCCACACTCACTTGCTACAGGCCCTTAAGGGGTGCTGCCTCCTCTCCAAGCCTCTGGTTACTGAGCAAAGTGCTGTGCACTACAGTGTATCTTCCCGTTTAATCCTCCCAATAGCCCTATGGTGTAGCTACCATCATTATGATTCCCATTCTGCAGATAAGAAAACTGAAGGGTAAAGTGGTGAAGAAATTTGCCTTAAGTTTCATAGCTAGGAAGTGACAGGAAGGTAATGGCGAGCCAGGGTGCCATGAGGACAAAAAGTCAGGACTGCCACACAGTATAAGGCATGGTCTCACCTCTACTTTCCTCTACCAAGAATAGAAACTCAGCTTCTATTTCTGGCTTAGATAAACAGGTGACCTCTGCTCCTCAAGATTTCCGTTGGTGAAATGGGCTGCATACAACATACAACAGCATCTGAAATAGGAACCAAAGCAAGCATAGAGCATTTGCTGATGTCGTTAATCATATTTTTTAAAGTTGACTGCCCTCTCTGTGTCAGACCCTGGCTGAGCACTTAACCTACATAACCTTGAATCTTGCCAACAGCCATGCAGGGACGAAGAGACTAAATGTGCCATGCCAAGTCACAAATCTAGTCAGCAGCAGAGCCAGAATTGCACCAGTACCTCTCTGGGGAACCTGATTTTTCTGTTTTGCTGCCTATTTAGCCTTCTAATTGAAGTTGGGTGTTTCATGTTCCATAGCATCTCATTTACACTTCTGGTAACAGTTGCCACCTCCGGACACATTGCAGAACAAATGTCTCCATGTTGGAGCTCCTCAACCAAAAGCCCTCACTGAAGGACAATGTATTCTCTGCTGCTTCAGCATTTCCAGAGTACCCAGTTGCTGAAGTATCTTCATGTTTGGGCAAAACACATCAACCTATCCATCTGTCTGTGTCTGCCCTTCCAAGAATCCATCACCATAGTAACTTGGTACTCAGACAAGAGACTGTAGATGAGAATGAAACAAAGGCCAGACCTTCTCCTTCTCTGAAGGCAGAGGATTAGTGTCATCTGAGTGCCCACACATGGCAAATGTCATGGCTACAAGTGCTTCACTGGCAGCCGCCAACCTCTCAAGGGGCTGACCACGTAGCAGGTACTCAGAAAATATCTGTTAAAAAGTATAGGAACATTTGAGTTTTTTTTGTTTTTTTTTTTTTTGCTTGTTTTCACAAATGGTTGTAAGAACTGAGGCAGATCCTTCAAAGTGGTTATTGGAAAGCAGTCATTTGAAGACAAACAGGACTTGAGTTGGACTTGGCTCTGGGACCTTGGGTGTGACACTTTACCTCCATCTTGCAAAGCCCATTCATTGCTTATAAAAAGGGGGATAATTTTCTTTCTGTATAAGTCTGTGGCAAGGATCCAGTGAGGTGATTAGCAACAAAAGCATTTGGTAAACCTCTAAGTGCAGTGAAGTGGCAGGTCCTCTTTGTGTCACCTTAGGAGTCACCAGACTTTGCCCTGGAATTTGGCCCCTCCAGTTTTTCCTTTCTGCCATCCTTTTCAAAGTCGGTCGCCTTTTCCCAGCCAAAAAGGAATATATCTCACTGTACTTTTTCCAGGATGTAGCCTTGGTTATTTAGAGAAGCGGCATCCCAGCAACGAAGCACTGCAGATGCTCCAGTGAGTGTCCTACTTCCAGAGCAGCCCATGCAAGACCCACAGAGCTCCATCCTGCCTCCTGTGTGCCTCCCTAAATTGCATGTGCTTTTGTCCTCTTCCCCACCCCTCCTACAGCATTCCACAAGGCTGGGCGACAGAGAGAAGCAGTCCAGGTGCTGGAGCAGCTCACAGACAATGCTGTGGCAGAGAGCAGGTTTAATGATGCTGCCTATTATTACTGGATGCTATCCATGCAGTGCCTCGATATAGCTCAAGGTGCGTAAACATCAGCCAGACCACTGTTTTCCCAAGCCCCGCTCTGATACCAAGATAAACATCAGAAGAGCTGGGACATTTTAATTAAAGCCCTGGGCTTGTTTATTGGGTGTATTGTCCATAAGCCTGCCTTGCAATGGCATAATGTGGTGTGTTATCTTTTTCCAGTTTGCCCCTCAGAATGGTATGAGGGCCATCCAAGGGTTACGGTTGGCAGGTCCAGCCCTGCATTGCTAATTCAGAACATGTCTCTCCCCTGCTACCTGGGAGCCCATAGCTGGACCTGGGTGAGCACTGGGTTTTAAAATCTTTTAACTAAAGGAGAAGATAAACAAGAGATGGCGTTACAATAGCATACTCCAGATTCTTACTCATCCCAGCCAAGAAAACAGTTTCAATGTTGCTTTCTTTCACAATATGATGTACTGAGGGCGTCCTGGAAATGGAAGAGACAAGGGGATGTTCTCCATTGGACAAGGCCACAAGCAGGGGTGGGAAAAACGCTGGAATGGAAGCCACAGGTGACTTGTAGCAAGTCACAGTACTTCCTGAGCTCTGCATGCCCATCTGCCCTTTGGGAGTACCCTTGTCCTAGTCCCTTTGTAAAGTTGCTGGGAGCCTCACAGAGCCATGCTTACAGTTTGAAAATTGTTAAGCCCAGGTGTAAGGTGGCATTTTTCTGTTCTGGGCAGTGGCTTATGCTTCTGATAGAAGCAGCAGAGGGAAGAGGCATGAGATGAGCATGAATGCAGTTGGTGTCTGCCTGCCCTTGTCCCAGCAGGCTCTTCTGGCATGTCTAGGGTCATGCTGCAGCTGTCTCTCCCCCAGGGGAATAACCTGAGAGGGTGCAGTGAGAGATCTGGAAAAAATAACCTCAAACTCCCTTGCCTTATGCCCTGCCCACCTAAGACTTCACTGTCCTGGAGTGGCCCCTACTCCTAAGCAGAGTGCCTTTCCCATCACTATACTTTGTCCCTCACCCTGGCACAGACACTGCGTGGTGGGAGAACTGATGCTGGCCAAAGTGCTGTTGCCTGGCCCCCTCCTCCTGTGGCCAGGTGGCAGCCACAGACACTGTTTGACACTTTGCCCTCCCACCCACTGCACACAGCAGATCCTGCCCAGAAGGATGTGATGCTTGGCAAATTCCACCACTTTCAGCGTTTGGCAGAGCTGTACCATGGCTACCATGCCATACATCGCCACACGGTAAGATGGCTGGGTCACTGGCACCTAAGGGTACTGTCTGCTGAGCTGGGGGCCCCAGGCATGTCTAAGAACAGCAGATTAGCTGGAAAGTAGCCCACTGGTCACAGTGAACTGCTGAGGAATCTTGGTCTCCTCTGGGCAGAAAAAGTTTGGTTTTCCTTGATTGACTATTTGTCTGCCATCCATCACGCAGTGGGCTTCTGAATTATAAGCCAGCGCTGGAATGGGTCTTGCTAGTTGCTCAGTGCAGGCTTTGATGACTCAGGCCAATACTGCATTAACCAGCAAGTGGGGTGGGAGTTCCTTGAGGCCCTCTTCTCCAATAAGGCAAAGGCCCAGGTTAACCAAAGGCTCAAGTTCCCTCCCTGGCCCTGCCAGTGGTTCTTTGGCAAGTCACTTTCCCTCTCTGTCCCTCAGTTTCCTTCTCTGTGAAACAAGAGTGTTGGCTTGGTCTCTAGAAACTGAAGTAGTTCTTTTTAGTCACTCCCTAATTCCTTTGAGAAAGCCATTTTAAATCTGTCTGGTGGCAATGGGGAACAGGTAATGGATTGTCAACAGCCTCTTCATCCACTATCTCCTCAGTCACCCAACAGATGTTGAGCACTTAGTACCTAGTAGGCAATGTACTGAGGGCTTCATTGTATCAAGTCATTTCCTCCTTTCAACCACACTTTGAGGAAAAGACTGGTACCCTCATTTTACCAGATGACAGTGAGGTACTACACAGAGGGGTCTCACAGCGAGTTGGTGCAAAAGTAACTGCAGTTTAAGACTATGAATTTTAAATCATTATAACTAGGCTGAAACACATCTTTATTAATCAAACTAGGAACCATTATGATCAACACATTTTTGCCAATGAGAAATAAGTTGATTACTGTAGCATAAAAATCCATACATCAGGATTCAGTGAACTCTTGGAAAGTATTTTCTGCATCCTGCTGGTTGTGGAAGCATTGTCCCTGCAAAAAGGTGTTAAGAGGCTTGAAGAAGTGGTAGGTGGTTGGCAAGAGGTCAAGTGAATATGGTGGATGAGGCAAAAGTTCACAGACCAATTTATTCAACTTTCGAAGCATTGGTTATGTGACGTGCAATCAGGTGTTGTTGTGGAGAAGAACTGGGCCCTTTCTGTTGACCAGTGCTGGCTGCAGGTGGTGTGGTTTTCAGTGCAGCTCCTCAATTTGCTGAGCATACTTCTCAAATGTAATCGTTTCACCAACATTCCGAAAGCTGTAGTGGATTAGAAGCAGACCACCAAACAGTGACCATGACCTTTTTTTGGTGCAAGTTTGGCTTTGGGAACTGCTTTGGAGCTGCTTCTTGGTGCAGCCACAGAGCTGGTCATCACCGGTTGTCATATAAAGTCCACTTTTTGTCGCACAGCAATCTGATTGAGAAATGGTTTTTGTTGCGTAGAATAAGAGAAGACAACACTTTAAAATGACTATTTTTTCATTTTTGATCAGCTCGTGAGGCGTCCAGTTTTCGAGCTTTTTTACCTTTCCAATTTGCTTCAAATGCCGAATAACCAGAATGGTCGATGTTGAGTTAGTTGGCCACTTCTCATGTGGTTGTAAGAGGATTGGTTTTGATGATTGTTCTCAATTGGTCTTTGTCCACTACTGACGGCTGACCACTACGCTCCTCATCTTCAAGCCTCTCCTTTGCAAAACTTTTGAACCACCACTGCACTGTACATTGGTTAGCAGTTCCTGGGCCAAATGCACTATTGATGTTACAGTTGTCTCTGCTGCTTTATGACCCATTTTGAACTCGAATAAGAAAATCACTCGTTTGCATTTTGTCTAATATCATTTCCATAGTCTAAAATGAGCATAAACAGCAAGTAATAATAACTCATTAGCAGAAAAACAAAGCGAGAAATGCCCATTGAAATGATGTATAACATAACCACCTTTAAGAATGTATTCCAGTATCAAACAGCAAATTCCAGAGCCAGTATGTGAGTCTCAACAGGCTGGCACTGGAGCTTATGTTCCTAGCCTTTCCCTCCCTCTCTCCTCTTAGAGAAAGCAGGCTAGTATGTTGATTTAGTGGGTAAACTCGAGTCCTCACACACAGATGACACCATGTTACTTATCTTCTCTGGCCTTTAGCTTCCTTCTCTATAAAACAGGGATAACAGCAGTATCTATTTGATGGGATTGTTGTGAGGATTAGACAAGTTAATATTGGAAAAACACTTAGAAGAGTACCCAGTACGGAGTGACCCTAGGTGGCAGCTATCCTTGCTGCTGCTCCAGGCAAGGCTTCACACCAGCTTTCCCTGGCCCGCTTCCTCTGGCTGGGCATCTAGCATTTCTCTTTTTTCAGAGATAAGGTCTCTGTCACCCAAGGTGGAGTGTAGTGGCATGACCATAGCTCATGGCAGCCTCAAACTGCTGGACTCAAGTGATCCTCCTGCATAAGCCTCCCAGAGCACTGGGATTACAGGAGTGAGCCACCACACCCAGCCTTCTTGCAGCTCTTTGACCTCTCAAATGCCCTGCCTTTCACCCTGGGCACTTCTTTCCCTGTAATCTGTGTTGACCTCTCACAGCATATTTTTTGCATCTTGGGAAGGTCTGGCAAGAAGAACTCCTCTGACAGGCTCTGTGCAGGCCAACCATCAATCCAGTGTCACATCCCTACCCACAGCAAGGTCAGTGGTCTCAAGGGACCTCATCTTCCCTTACAGTCTTTGCCTTTCAAAACAAGACCCCCTCAGGGTTCCTAATCTCTATCAAGTGCTCACCTGGAGAGAAGCTACCACAAAAGGAGCCCAGACTCAACTTAGGCTAGAAGTCAGGGCCCAGCTCAGCCTCAGTTTGCCTAAGCCACTCCAGAGCCTGACTCTCAGCTCCTTCCCTCAGACTTTTCTTTTTCTTTTTTTCTTTTTTTTTTTTTTTTTTTTAAGATGGGGTTTCACCATGATGGCCAGGCTGGTCTTGAACTCCTGACCTCAGGTGATCCACCCACCATGGCCTCCCAAAGTGCTAGGATTACAGGCGTGAGCCACTGCGCCCGGCTCCCCCAGACTTTTCTCCTGCTGTTCCCTGTCCTCTTCCTCACCTGGGGCATGAGGCTGAGGGCTCCTCTCTGTAACAGCTGTGCTCTGCTCCAGGACCTACATGGGGCTTGGAGCTAAGGGGCCTCAGATCAGCTGGGGCCCTGGCTCTTAGCTGAATCTTCTTCATTGGGTCATTCCTTCATTCAACAAATGCCTACTGTGTGACAGACCCTGTGATGAGACCTGGCAACGTAGTGGTGAACAAAACATTGTCCCTGCGGTCAGTCCTAGTCTAGCAAACAAAACAGTCCCTCAAGGGAAAAGCTTAGAGGCCTGTAAAGAGACTTCCTGGAGGAGGTGGCCCCTCAGCCAGGGGAAGGAGACAAGTAAAAATGGGGCAAGTGAAGTGGAGGAGGAGAAGGAAAGGTATTGTGGCAAAGGTCACAGCCTGTGCAAAGGCCTGGAGGTGAGTGGTAGTTTGTGGTTCAGCATCCAGGGCCCAGCAGAGCAGCACTGATTCAGGGCAAGACTAGAAAGGGAAGTTTCAGGTCCTTCCTGGATACATAGCTTCTTTCCCAGAGGAAAGGACTCCCCTCCTACCTGTTCTCTCTGGGACATTACTTAGCTTCCCTACCTAGTGCAATAGAACCAGAGGCAGACCTCATCCTGGTTCTTAGCCTGTAAAGGATGTAATCTCAGGTTTTCTTGGGTTCTTGGAGCTAACAGAAGCTATAGAAATTTAAGTGGGAATTACAGAGAAAATGCTAAGCTCTGAACTGAAGAAGTATAGAGCAAAGTGAGTCCTCAGAGTGTAGACCAATTAGGGGAAGCTTTGGTGGCTCAGTGATGACTAGAGCCTCACAAGACCCTTCAGGAAATGTCAGTTTATTACCATGTAAGTGCTCACAAGAAAGAGGAGTGGCTAGGCTGTTTTAATCCTCAACATCTAAAGCCTTATTAGAAATCAACAGTCTCAGTTTATAGACAGTTTGCCACATGCCTTCAAAATAAGTTCTTAACCTTTTATAGACCCCACATAGAAAATTTCCTATTTGTCTGCTGAGCTTCTGGCAGCCTCTAGGTACAGAAGACTACTCAGTCCACTCATGTGTGCTAAGCACCTTCTGTTGAGGCCTATGCCAGGAGCCAGGGAAATGGGTCAGCAATTGAGGAACTCCACATGTGTGCTCGTTTGGTGGCACATCAGCCAGGCTGCTGTTGGAAAGCACAGAAGAGGCCTGTGGGTTCATGTTGAAGAGGGCTAAGTGCCTCTGTTTAAAGACAGGCTTATATGGATCAGGGGTCATGTCCTCAGTCACACAGAAAGTCCTCTCTTTTAGAGCTAAGTGGAGATAACTTGAGTTCAGTGAAATGGAATCATTACTAACTCCAGAGGCAGTACAGCTTGGAAGACATTCTTGGGCTTTGGATTCAGACCTGTGTTTGAAGCGCAGCTCAGCTCTGTTCTAGTTGGTGACTTGGGCAAATCATCTATCTAGGTGTCAGTTTTCTCATCAGTACTGTGAGGATAAAAATGCATGCCACAAGGTTATGTCTCATCAGATGAGACAGTGGCTATATGGTGCCCAGCACACAGTAGGTGCTCAATAATCAGGGTCACTGTTGTTGATGTCACTCAGAATTACTGGTGTCTGCCTTCTGGCCTAGCCCAGCAGCAGCTCAGTTGAGGTACTCAATTTCTGTTTGCTTTTCTCTCACTGCAGGAGGATCCATTCAGTGTCCATGGGCCTGAAACTCTTTTCAACATCTCCAGGTTCCTGCTGCACAGCCTGCCCAAGGACACCCCCTCGGGCATCTCTAAAGTGTATCCTTTCTCTTACCCCTCCCCCATCCCATCCCACTTGTCTGATGGCCCCAAGAAGTTCCTTCTAGAGCACTTTCCTGGCAGAACCTTCCTCTCTTAGCAGCCCTCAAGAGAAGAGAGAGAGCTCACCCTCCCTCTGCTGTTTGGCTGTAGAGGCTCAGCAGGGAGGCCCAGGGGCCTGGGCCAAGAGAAGAAGAGTTTTCAGGGCTCTCTGAGCTGAGCCCAGCAATAGATCTCTGGCCAACACACTGTCCCAGTCCCTCCTACAACTCACAGATGAGAGAGTGATTGTAATGGAAGAAGCACCAGGCCTTCGGGCTTGGAATCTTGGGCACTTCCTCAGACTGGGGAGCAAGGAGCATTTGTTCAGCCCAGGTATACAGATCAGCTGCTGTTCCCCCATCCCCAGGCCAGGTACCAGGTGACAAAGCTGCCATCAAGGGTGGAGGTCACAAGTTAGAACCTGGTCTGGTGGATGTGCGCTGTGTCTCAGGGTGGAATGAGGCTGAGGTCAGGGCCATGCTCAGGGAAGGCTACTTGGAAGAGGTGCTGTCTGTCATGCAGGCCAAGGCAGCCAGGGAAGATGGCCAAGTGGATGTTCCAGGGGAGAGCCCGGGATGTAGAGGGGCAAGCGAGGTATGTGGGAGGAGGTGAGGGGCCCTGAGGGAGAGGGGCTGGAGAGGCAGCAGGGCCCGAGGCCTGAGGGCCTACCTTTGGGTTTGCCTCTCCTTCTATAGCCAATGAGGGCCACAGTGGGGCCATAAACAGAACAGGGTCCTGAAGGGACTGTGCAGTCAGATACTGGATCATTACCAGTGATCCAGATCTTTAAGGTCTTAGATGTCATGAGACATAATTGTCCCTGTTATTTTCTAAACCTCACTGTACCCTCAGCTCCTTCCCAGCCCGAGCCCCGCCTGCCTGCTGTAAGGAAAATCCACTCCACTGGAGAAGGCCCAGAGCTGCTTGTTGTAAGAATTGGCATCTCTGGGGGATTCCAGGCCCATCGTTTACATTTCAGGGGAAACACCCCCAAATCAAGGGGTGCCTTCCTAGAGTAACACCCCAGCTGCAGGCATCTCCGTCTTGCCCCACAGGAGCAGTCAGGGCCATGCGTGCGGGGGCTGAGCACCTGTACCCATCGTTTCTAGCAAGTTCAGTTTGAGTCAACAGCTTGATGGAACCCCTGCACTAAGCCTCACCCTGTGCCATCCCCTGGGGACCTGGAAATGACTCCTGACAGTCCCTGACTTTGAGGCATGATGGAGACAGAAGGACACTCTCCACAGAACTGCTGAAGTGGACGGGGCTGCACTGCAGAGGGCGGGAGCAGGAGCACTGGGAGGGAGGTGGGGAGGAAGGGTAGGAGGGCCTGGGCACGGCCAGCATCGGAGGTGACCTGAGAGGAGAGCACAAAGGCCCAGCCTCTGGCCGAGGAGCTTCGAGGCTGCGACTCAGAAACCGCCCACAAGGCCTTTGCGGGAAGGACGGGCAGGCAGAGGGATGCACCCAGGGGCCTCAGTAGAGCAGGGCTGAGGGTGTCTCCCCAGGGAGTCTGGGACCAGGCCCCACCTGGCAGGGCCAAAGCAGAGTGCCCTTGGTGCCAGGCGTCCTAGGAAGGCCTGGCTAGCAGGCTCAGTGAGGCAGGAAGAGCCATTTTGGCCTAGTCAGGGTACAAAACAAGCCACCAGCAGGCCCAGAGATGCTAAGCAAGGTTAAAGTATTGATGGAAACTACACTGTCTTTATCTCTGGAAAAATCCCTGGGCCTTCCTGTCCGAGAAATACACTCACCTCTCACAAATGCACAGAGCCTTCCTCACGCTCTATCCTGTGCCCTCCTGGCACCAGCATGAGCTGTGTTCCAGTCTAGGGCTCACTCCAAGGATAGGCAGTCTCAGCTCCTGGGCCTGGTGCTACCCTTGCTATCCTTAACCCTGTTCACGGCAGGAAAATACTCTTCACCCTGGCTAAGCAGAGCAAGGCCCTGGGCGCGTACAGGCTGGCCCGACACGCCTATGACAAGCTGCGAGGCCTGTGTATCCCCTCCAGATTCCAAAAGTCCATCGAGCTGGGTACCCTGACTATCCGCGCCAAGCCATTCCACGACAGTGAGGTGAGGACACAGCACCCTTGGGCAGATGGCTTCTCCTCCGCTCCGCTGAGGCCATCTCATGACCACTAGCCTGGCCTGGGTTCCGTTTGAAGACAGAGGCTGCAGCTCCCTCTGTTTGAAGAAAGAGCTCGCTCTGAGGGCTCTGTGCCCTCAGCTCAAGCCTGGTTATGCCAGCTCCCCTGTGCTTCCCTGTCCACCCCCTGTTCTCCTTGCAGCCCACTGTGCGCCAGCCCCAGCCCGGCCTCCCTTGCTTCTTGCTCTCCCCTAGGCAAGCCCTGCACCTCTGTGCCCAAGTGGCTCTGCCTTTACCCCAAGCCTGGCTGCAGGGCTGACTCTCACTCTAGAAACCCCTGCCCTTTCTGTGGTTCTCCAGCAAATCCACCCTATGTTCTCTGCAGCCCGGGTCTGTGCCCAGCCCCCATTCCTTCAACCCAGCCAGCTGCTTTCTTTCACAGCCCCTCCCTCAAGCTCAGAGCAAGGACTGCATCAGAAAGACCTGGGTTCACATCCTAGCTCCACACTTTCCTACCTCTGTCTCCACCTTTCTGCCCTTTGGTTTCCCCCTTTCCCACAGGTAGTTGTGAGGCTAAATTAGCACAAGCCACATGCTCTGCACAGTGCCTGGAGCATGATAAGTGGCTGGCCAAAGGTGGCAAGTCACTTTCATTCCTGCCAGGGGAAGAGTTCTGCTGAGTGCTGTCTGTAGAGGTGTCTTGGGCAGGGGGCTCCAAGTGACAGGGCTTGGGTATTGGCAGGCCTTTATCCTACTTCCCTATAGCATGGAGCCCCCAGGCCCAGCGCCCCCTCCCTGCCTGCCCACCTGGGTGGCCTTTCCTCTCGGCAGCCAGGCCCCAGGGGGAAGAGGACACATGCCTGCCCCAGCCTGGCCCTTCCGGAGTCCGTGGCTGTTTTGTAGGAGCTGGTGCCCTTGTGCTACCGCTGCTCCACCAACAACCCGCTGCTCAACAACCTGGGCAACGTCTGCATCAACTGCCGCCAGCCCTTTGTCTTCTCTGCCTCTTCCTATGGTGAGTCCCTGCATCCTGGGCACATGGGCGGGACAGCCTATGGACAGCGAGGTTCACTCTACTGCTTGCGGCCCTCACGACATTGGGCAAGGCCCAAAGGCCTCTGAACGTCCCTGTTTGTGAAATGAGGACACTCTTGATACCCACCTGCTTAACATAGAGTCACTGTCGGTGTTCCCAGAGATAGGACCCACTGCTGCCCAAAGCTGAAGCACCCACTCTGGGAACCTGGCGCAAGGCTTTGCATAACGAAATGCCCCAGGACAAGAGGCCAATGGCTTTACATTCAGACCAAGAGGCTGAGATGGGTTTTCAACGCTCAGCTCCTTTGATGTTGACGGGATCAGAAGCCCCTTCCCAGGAGCTGAACAGAGGCCACAGACACATACAGAGAGACTGCCCCTGCACACACACAGAGACTACCCCTGGCCACACGCAAACAGACTACCCCAGTGCGCACATACACAGAGACTACCCTGCACACACACAGAGACTACCCCAGCACACACACAGACCACCCCTGGTCACACACACACAGAGACTACCCCTGCACACACACACAGACTGCCCCTGCACACACACACAGAGTACCTCTGCACACACACACAGACTGCCCCTGTACACACACACAGACACTACCCCTGCACACACACAGACTGCCCCTGCACACACACACAGACACTGCCCCTGCACACACAGACTACCCCTGCACACACACAGATACTACCCCTGCACACACACACAGACACTACCCCTGCACACACACACAGACTACCCCTGCACACACACACAGACACTACCCCTGCACACACACACAGACTACCCCTGCACACACACAGATACTACCCCTGCACACACACACACACAGACATCACCCCTGCACACACACAGACTACCCCTACACACACACACAGACATCACCCCTGCACACACACAGACTACCCCTACACACACACACAGACTACCCCTGCACACACACGGATACTACCCCTGCACACACACACACAGACATCACCCCTGCACACACACAGACTACCCCTGCACACACACACACAGACTACCCCTGCACACACACACAGACTACCCCTGCACACACACAGACTACCCCTGCACACACACACAGACTACCCCTGCACACACACAGACTACCCCTGCTGCCTCTTCTTGCTTTTGGAGAAGCTGCCAGTGGGTTGAGAAAGAACTCTGTGGTCACCCCACCTGCCCAGTGGAAAGTTACTTGCAAGCTAGCTGCTTCAGCCCTTTCCCCACGCCCTCCAGATGTGCTACACCTGGTTGAGTTCTGCCTGGAGGAGGGGATCACTGATGAAGAAGCCATCTCCCTCATCGACCTGGAGGCACCCAGACCCAAGCGAGAGGACAGACAGCAGGAGACCATAAACAACAGTATCCATGCTCTTGGCCAGAACCTACGTGTGCAGCCATATGAGGGGCATGGGGCCAGGCAGGAAGCAGGAGGGCCCAGGGATGGCAGGTCATGCTGAGCCTGGCCCTGTGTCCCTAGAGAGATTGGAGAGGCCCACATGGGACGGACAGGGACCAGAGGTGGGCAGAGGGCTGGCCAGGGCCTGCGGAGCCAGAGTGGCAAATGGCACCTTGGTCTTCCCGTGTGGGTCTCCCACTCTCCCCTAGCCCCTAAAAGGCACTGGCTGTGCCTCCATGCATAGCTCCTACATAGCTAACATGGGATACGATGTCAGTGTTGGCCCCTAGCTCTTCCACTCTGGTCACTTTTGCATGCAGGTGGCACAGTTCATGACTGACAGGCTGAACAAGTGAAGGGTGTGCAAAGAAGCCCTGAGGAGAGGCGGCTCCATGGCCCAGCGCTCACTCCGGTTGGTCACAGGCTTGCTCTGCCTCTCTTGGCTCTGCTCTCCTCTGGGGAGCTTCATTTTTTGGCAGCACCATGGTACCCCTACAACATAGAGATGCCAGGAGCCCCACATCCCCTCAGCCTCATCACCCCCAGAAACGGCCAGCTCTCCTCTCAGCTGTGGCAGTGAAAGCCCCAGGGCACAGCTCAGCCTGCCCCTTTGGCCAGGAGGACGTACTGTTGTCCTTGTCAGGCCACTTTTGCAGGCTGGCTTCTTGCAGGGAACAGCACACACATGGCCTGGGGCCTCGCTCCCTCCCACTGGCTGAGTCTGCAGGTGTAGGGGCTGTGAGGCTGCCTTTCCCGCAGCTCCCATGTGCTGCCGCCCCCAGGGGCCACACTGGGAGGAGGGAAGCTCAGAGAGAGCTTCCCATCTTGCTGAAGGAGAGACAGATCCTGCTCTGCCACCCAGGCTCCCACAGGTGCCACAGATGATGCGGGCTATGGTGTTGGCATGTGGGTGCTATGCCAACTCCAACTTGACACTAGCAGTCTCCATGCCATGGGCCTCCCTTGGGGACCCCTGCCGGTCTCTGTCACCAGCTCCACCACTGTGGGAGAGGGGCAGTTTCTGGGGACCTCCAGGTGAGTCTGATCCGGCCTGGGGTCAGTAGGGGCTCACCCCGTCCGCTCTATCACAAGTGTCTGCAGACCCCCCAGCAGCTGCTGAGTGTTTCTCCAGGATCCCTGGGCCCGTCATCCCCTCCATGCCCACCCACAATGGCTCACAGGGCCTGCATGTGCTTCCCACTGGCCTTGGGAGCCATGGCACGCATGGCCTGCAAGAGGAATGGGTGAGGGCAACAGCGCCAGCAGAGTCCCTTCTCTCTGCCTTCTCGGCCTGAGCCCCCACTGTTTTTCCTCCTGGAAAACTGTTCCGCTGGCCTGGCTGTTCTTGAGTCTTCACATGGGTGTAGGATGGAGGCTAGGGTCTATCTCCAGCTCTTCTGATTCCATCCTTGACCAGACCCCTCCAGGCTCCCAGATTCTGCAGCTAGTGGAGACCAAGGACTCCATGGGAGATGAGGACCCGTTCACAGCTAAGCTGAGCTTTGAGGTAAGGGTGCCTCTCTGGGTGACCTGCAGGAGGGCAGCCTTCATCCCTTCTCCTGTGCACATGGGGACCCTCAGTTAGCACAGTAACAGAGGAGGATTCGCCAGAACTTCCAGGTGTGATGGCACGAGGGTGGGACAGGACCCCTTCCTGTGGGGTGTAGGAGCCAAGGCTGCCTCTGAGGGACCATGGGCAAGGGCACAGGTCTGTGGACAGGAAGGCAGCTTCAGTTCTGGTGGGAGGAGCTTGTCACTGTCGGGGTTACGAAGCAGATCCTCCCTCGCCACTGACAAAGATTCTAGGATCATAATCCACACAAATGTGTCACTGTGGCTGAGTGAAGACACTGCCTCCTTCCCGCCCACCCTGCAGCAGGGTGGCTCAGAGTTTGTGCCGGTGGTGGTGAGCCGTCTGGTGCTGCGCTCCATGAGCCGCCGGGACGTCATCATCAAGCGCTGGCCCCCGCCCCTGAGGTGGCAGTACTTCCGCTCACTGCTGCCTGACGCCTCCATTACCATGTGCCCCTCCTGCTTCCAGGTAGGTGGCCACTCCAGCAGCTCACGTGTGCTTCTCTCAGCCACTTTTCCCTTACCCAGATGTCCCTCTGGGAGGCCTGGCCCCTGGGAGGAGGAGCACATCCACAGCTCCAAGTTGGGAAAGAGGCTTGGCTGTCCTCGCCTCTACTTGCATTCCATGTGCATCTAAAGTAGATTTCGCTGGATCCAATACTGTCCACACCCTCCCTAATTCCGGAAGGGCCAGCAACTGTGTGTGCCTTTGACCTTCACTCAGAAAACAAGGAGCCCCACAGCCCCCTCCCATCTCCCCTTCCAACCCTCAAACAAAGGTGCTGCAGGTCTGTGTCCAGCCCTGACCACTGCCAAGTCCCCTGCCTTTGAGAGGCTGTCCCAGCCCCAGGCATAGGACTGATGAGCACTAGGGCTTTGGCCTGATCGTCCCTCAGATGTTCCACTCTGAGGACTATGAGCTGCTGGTTCTTCAGCACGGCTGCTGCCCCTACTGCCGCAAGCGCAAGGACGACCCCGGCCCATGACCAGCACCCTGGGGACAGCCTGCACTGTCTGCCTGCCTTGCGATCTGCTGGACTTTGAAGGAGAATGAAGAGTTAAACTGTCAGAATGCATCTCTTGCCCAGATGAAGTTTGTGTTTTGGGGGGGCCTTGTGTAACCACGGAATTCCTATTTATGGCATTTCATGCCTTGTAAATAGCACCAGGAGATGAGGAAGAGAATGTACATATATTTTCTAAGGAAAAAAATCTGTTACTTTCAGAACGGCTCCTAGTTGTTCGTGGCAGCCTGCTGGAGTCCGCAGATCTGTCAGACCGTTAGCATGTACATTTTGCCAACAGATTGCCTCAATAATGACAAAAGGGCTCCTTATTTTCATCAGCGTCTGCATTTTAGCAAGTATTCGTATTGTCTGCAACTTAATTTCCTTATGCAAAAGTGCACCTGTTTCTAATTTGATCTGAAAGGAATATTACATTTGTGTGCTCTTAACATTTAATCTAATAGAAATGGCAATATGGAAAGGGGTAGGGGAACGGGTTTTTTTGTTGTTGTTGTTTATTTTGGTTTAATGAGGATCTGTCTTGACAAGAAAAAATAACCTGGCTCCAAAGAAGATGGCAGGACTTTTAAAAAAGGCTCCTGTCTGGACCCTGGAGCCACCCTTCCGTCCACCTTCCCCAGCCCCACAGAGCAGCCCAGCCCAGTGAATACTCTTCCCTTTAGAACAGCTCCTTAAGCGGGTGGCTTCCGTTTGAAAGTCCAGAATGCCAAGGTCCCTTCCCTCAGGCATCACTGGTGTCCAGTGCAGCAGCTTGTGGGCTTGGAAGGGGCACATGCAGAAGCTGAAGAGAACTCACATTGGGGACATTTTTGGCACCAGCCACTTTCCATGCTGTCTCAAGCCTCTCAGCAGCCCTGTGAAGAAAGGGTTATGATTTCCAATGAGGCTGGGAAGGGGGTTGCCAGGACCCAGGGTATGCCTTCAGCCCTGGGAGGCGCAGCCCACCATTTGTCCAGCCTCGAGGCTCTGCCCCCTTCACCCCCACTCCACCTGCCAGAGGTGGCAATGCAGTGCTTCATGAAAAGCCTGAGAGTAGCTGAGCACAGGCAGGAGCGAGGGCAGGGCTGTCATGCCATGCTGAAACCCACCCTCCCCTCATGCTGCAGTATTGATTCCTTACAGCCTATCTGTACAGGGGGCAGGGCAGGACAAATGTGCCCATTGGAGGGATGCGGACACTGAGGCCCCAAGGGGAGTGGCTGCAGAGACCCCCCAGTGGGAAGTGTCAGAACTAGAGACCCATCCCAGAGCCCCTGCCCCACCCCAGACCACCCCTCCTCCCTGCATCCCTCCGAATCTCTCTGGAGATGATGGAGGAAAATAAAGGGAGCCAGACAGTTGTGCCAACAGAACTCCTCCGTCGATTGTCTAATTACTTACCATCATGCATGCACTCTCACTAAACATTTATTAATGTGTTAGGATTTCCATTAGTGCATGACTTGAACTGAAATCATTTGCATATGGCTGGGAAAAAGAGGGGAGAAAGAGAAAACAGCTCCAGCTACCTAGCAGTCAATCACAGTGACAGATCAGATGGTCCCTGGCTGGAGGCAAGGGAGGGTTCCAGCGGAGATTCTCGCATCCCCTCAGCTGATGAACACAAAAATGAGTGTGCTATTCCGGGCTCTTGCTGCCCCAGGAAGCTCAGCTCAAGAGGCCTGAGTGGGGCCCCTGTTCAGACAGATGCACTTTCTGTACATCATCCAAGCCTGCCTCTTATGCAGGTGATGACACTGAGCCTCAGTCACGTTCTTTTTCATTCAGCAAATAGGCATTCAGCCAAGGCATATTTGGTTGCACCTGGGTGCAACCTTCACACATAAGCCCTGTGTCTGGCTGCTGTTCTCTCTCAGCCTGGTCTGGGTCTGAGCCAAGTCCAGTCTTTTCTCCAAGGCTCAGTTTCCCCATCTGTACAAAAGGGCCCCCTCCAGCTCTGACTCCGAGGTTCCAGCCTCAGTCTACATCTGTGAACAGTGCTGGATGATGATCCTTTTGACCCCTCACATGCCTATGACAAGGAAGGCACCACAGGGACCTGGTGATGCCCACTGAACTAAGAGGACACTGAAGCCAGAGAGGAGCAGCTGCGGGAGGCTCACGGCAGGGCAGTGGTTCTGGCCTGTATGTAGCTGTAGTCCCAACTACTCGGGAGGCTGAGGTGGAAGGATCACTTGAGCCAAGGACAGGAGTTCAAGACTGCAGTAAGCTATGATTGCACCACTGCACTCCAGCCTGGGCAACAGAGAAACATTCATCTCTCAAAAAAATTTAGATAAATGAAGTAATCACTGACGGTAATGACCTTGTAAAAACTGAACATGGCTGGGTCTGGTCACTCATACCTGTAATGTCAGCACTTTGGGAGGCCAAGGCAGGAAGATCGCTTGAACTGAGAGATACCAGTTTGAATTCTATAGGGAGACACACACTATCTGGCTGGGACTGGTCCTGATCTGTCATCTCCCAAGAGTTCAACATTGTACCCATGTTCTTGGAAGGAGGAAGCAAGGGAGAGGCAGACTGGACAGCCACAAGTGGATCTGACTCTAGACCCACCTCAGGCAGTTGGGGGTTCCCGGGCCTCGGTTTCCTATCTCTCCCCAGCAAGGCTGTGAAGCCAGGAGCCCCTGGTGGCTGTCGCACAGGTGGGCAGAGGCCCCTCCTCCAAGGTGACTGCTGTGTTTCTTCCCAGGCTCGGAGTCTGTGTGCCCACGGCAGAGGCCACCACTGGGCAGGGTGCTTACCCTGGGCCTCCCTGATTCTCCCCACGCAGATCCAGAACACTGGCCCAGAATGGAGACCTCGTCACGGCCTTCCCTGCTTACCACTCGCAGTGGCTGCCTGTGCCATTCAGCCAATACCCAGACCCCTTCTGTCCCTGCCAGGCCACCCTAAGGGGACCAGCACCTCCATACCCAGCTGGTGCTCCTGCTTGCCCTGTTTGGGGGGCTCTTTTGAGGCCAGCCACTCTGGGGAGCTTCCCAGGCACCCTCCTGGTCCACCTTTTTCTCCTCTGGGCTCCCACAGCCCTGGGACTGGGAGAAAACTCTCATTTCTCATGGTTAGTTTCCCCTGTCAGTGCCTCCTGAAACTGCAAGCTCCTTGAGAGCAGGGACTGTGTAGGATCCATCTCAGCATTCCCAGGGCCCAGGCCAGGGTCTGGCACATAGGAGTTTGGCAAATGCTAGGGTAGAAGGGAAAGAGGAAGGAAGGAAAACTGGTCTTTCTCCCTCCCTTATTGCCTCTTGACACTCTCAGCGCTGTCAAAGACCTCACGTAGTCTCAGTGACGCAGCCAGGTGGGGCTGAGTCATGTGGGGGACCAGAAGAAAGAAAGCCGAGGAAGAAGAGGAGAAGGATGCTGACCTAGCAGCTCCTCTCACAGCAGTTCCTCTCCTGCGGAGGCTGAAGAGCGATTTGTGCACTGCAAGCTAAGCCCCTAATCCTCCAAGGCAGAAGCAAAGCCTGCACCTGGGCTCCTGAGGGCTGGGACTTGGGTGCCCCAAGATGGCCACATCTACCTTCAGAGATGGTCGCCCCAGGGCCCTGACTCCATGCCCCGCAGCTCCTCACAGCTCTTCCCGAGCCTGCTGAGAGGGAGGCAGAGGGCAATGGCTCAGAAATCCCCCCACACTCCAGCTTGGCCAACACCCACACCATGGGTTTCTCTGGATTGCCCGACACAAGTTATGTGTGCTGGCCAGGCCTGTGTTCAAATCCCAGCTCTGCAGAGGAACTTTGACCCTGCGTGCCCCAGATTCCTCAGTGGTCAGTGGGGAGTGAGACGCTCTTCACAGGGGGCAGGAGGAGTTGTTCATTCATTCAACAAATGTTTATTGAACACCTCCTATAGGTTGTGAGCTCAGAGGCAGTGATGAACAGGCCAGGGTGGTCCTGCATTCTAGAAAGAGATGGGAGGTCAGTCAATAAGAAGACAAATGAGACCAGGTGAGGTGGCGCACCTTTAGACCCAGTCACTCAGGAGGCTGAGGTAGGAGGATCGCTTGAGCCTAGGACAGGAATTCAAGGCTGCAGTAAGCTATGATTGTACCCCTGCATTCCAGCCTTGGCAACAGAGCAAGACTCATCTCTAAAAAACATTTTAAAATTATAGCCTCCCAAGTGGCTCCCAAGGCAGGAGGATCACTTGAGCCTGGGAGTTAGAGACCGGCCTGAACAATATAGGGAGACCCCATCTCTACAAAAATGAAAATAAATTAGCCAGGCATGGTGGTACAGGCCAATGGTCCTATCTACTCAGGGTTGAGGTGGTGGATTGTTTGAGCCCAGGAGGTTGAGGCTGCAATGAGCCAAGACTGTGCCACTGCCATCCAACCCAAGTAACAGAGCAATACCCTGTCTCAAAAACAATAGGCCAGGTGTGGTGGCTCACGCCTGTAACTACAGCACTTTGGGAGGTCGAGGTGAAAGGATCACTTGAGATCAGGACTTAGAGACCAGCCTGGCTAACATGGCAAAATCCTGTCTCTACTAAAAATATAAAAATCAGCCAGGCGTGGTGGCACACACCTGTAGTCCCAGCTACTTGAGAGGCTAAGGCAGGAGAATCACTTGAACCTGGGAAGAGGAGGTTGCAGTGAGCCAAGCTTCCACTACACTCCAGCCTGGGCAACAGAGCAAGACCCTGTCACAAAACAACGACCACACCTGGTGGGAGTGCCTGGTGTGTAAGATGGTCAGGAGCGGTCTCTCCAAGGACATGAATGTAAACAGAGACCTGAAGGAGACTCAGGAAGAGATTAATACTGTCAGCAACAAACATATTGATCACTTACAAGCACTCTCAATAATCCTATTAGGTAGGTACTCATGTCATTCCCATTTTACAGAGTGGAGGACCAAAGCACACCCTCGGGAGGGTGGGGGAGCTGGCTGCACTCAGGTTTTGTAGCCTCAGTCCAGATGTAAGAGTGTGTGGAAAAGAGTCTTGCCCAATGAGGGAGAACAGTGAAACCGAGGCTGTAGGGTCCAGAGATTCGTAAGCCAGGCTCTCATGGGGAAAGCAAGTGACTTTTACTGTATAGCTGGGTGTGCCCCCCACCCCACACTGAGGCTCTCTTGTTCCAGCAAACTGAGGCCCAGAGAGGCGAAGCAAGACTACTGTGATAAAGACCAGCTAGAATCCAGCCTCCTCTCCTCAAGGCTTCCATTGCCCTGCCCCAGGCCTGTGTGACTCAGTCCAGGGCCTTTCCATTACCCCAGCTAAACCTTTCTTTAGTCATTTATACCATGGTGTGAATAGCTGGATGGTCTTTCCTGAGAGCTGTGTTTGATGAGGGGAGGGAGGAATAAGCAGGTTAGGGAAGCTGTTACCCTGTGAAGCCAGGCTGGCTGTGTGGGTTATAGCCCAGACTGTCGCTGATTTGTTACAGGACCTGAACAACCCTG